AAAGAGCTTCCTGTTTGAAAAAATATATACTTTTAACTCCATCTCCTTTCCTCAGATAAGCTCCAGAAGGATGCATGATCATTGCATCATTATTATTCTTAAACAATGAACTAAAGTGGACCAGTCAAGTGAATGCCAATGGGAGTTTGATGGAAGAGGCTGTCCTGTTCTCGCCTAGAGTGACCTCACAATCTGTGGCCCAGGAGGATTTTATAAGATATCAGCATGCCTGCCGAGAACAAATGAATAGTTTTTTCCTTAGTGCTAAAAACACCAGAGGCAATTTTCACATACCCACCCTTCGTTTTTACAGGATGTGGTGGGGGAGTCAGGCTGTAATCACAGTGTGTTAACTGAGGATAAAATAGAGAGCATCAGCCAGATTGCTCTTCTTGAAAACAACAGCCAAAAAAGAAAAACAGCTTTCAGGATTTTGAGTTGCTTCACATGCTCAGGAGAGGGTGGCAATTTCAAGCCCAACATCAAGAAGAAGGACAAAGTTGAGCCCAACTGGGCACCAGCAAGGAGTGGGTGCACCCATCCCTGCCTCCACGCTCCTTCCTCCACAGTAAAAATGAGGGCTCCCATCATTTTGGGGTAGTGGGTGTTTCACAGTCTGTTCTCCTCAGCAGCTTTGAAATTCTGAGTTCTGAATTCTGGTATTGTAGCCTGGCACAGAGTTGCAGGGACAAGGTTTGTTCACACCCTAATCTCCTACCCCAGCCTGCTGTCTTCCTGACTGTGCCACTATCTGAAGTCGAGGGTTTCTCACTAAACACTGAGCAGAGCTGCAGGCAGACCTTGACCTTGCCTCATATGTCCAAGTGAAATAAGCAACCACCTTAAAAAAGAAGCCAAGTTTTCCCTTTGTTGATGGATTCCTCCTTCTATGGAAGTATCTGTGATAAGGATACTGTCACTCTGAACCACTGAGTCTTTTGTTCCAAAAATACTGATTGACAGTCATTGATCACTTATTACCGAGTCCCTATAGTAACTCATTTAAAGCTCTGCAAAATAATAGTCCTTTCACAGCTGGTTGTGGTGGCTCACGCCTGTAATCCCAGCACTTTGGGAGGCTGAAGTGGGCAGATCACTTGAGGTCAAGAGTTCAAGATCAACCTGGTCAACATGGCGAAACCTCTCTCTACTAAAAATACAAAAATTAGCTGGGCTTTGTGGTGGGTGCCTGTAATCCCAGCTACTCCAGAGGCTGAGGCACAAGAATTGCTTGAACCTGGGAGGCAGAAGTTGCAGTGCGCTGAGATCACACCACTGCACTCCAGCCTGGGCAACAAGAGCAAAACTCCATCTCAAAAAATAATAATAATAATAAAGAAAAATAAATTAGCCAGTTGTGGTGGCTCACACCTGTAGTCCCAGCTACTCAGGAGGCTGAGGCAGGAGAGTTGCTTGAGCCCAGGAGGCAGAGGTTGTAGTGAGCTGAGATTGTGCCATTGCAATCCAGCACAGGCAACAAAGAGAGATTCTGTCTAATAATAATAATAATAGTAATAGTCCCTCCAAACTATCCTAAGTCCTTTGTATACTGTATTAGAGTCCTAGGTCCTAGGTCCACCATAACAGAGTAACACAGACTGGGTGGCTTCAACAACAGAAATTGTATTTTTTCGCAGTTCTGGAGGCCAGGCGTCCAAGATTTAGGTGTCAACAGTTTTGGTTTATTCTGAAGCTGTGAAGGAGACCCTGTCCTACACCCCTCTCCCAGCTTCTGGGGGTTTGCTGGCAATCTTTGGTATTCCTTGGCTTGTAGATGCAACACCCTAGTCTCTACATTTGTCTTCACATGGCATTTTCCCTTCGTATGTCTGTATCCAAATTTCTCCTTTTCAAAAAGGCACTGGTCTTGCTGGATTAGGGTACACACTAGTGACTTCATTTTAAGTTGATTACTTCTGTGAAGACATAAGATCACCTTCTGAGGTCTTGGAGGTTAGGACTTCAGTGTAGGGGGACACAGTTCAAACCATAACACACATATTAACTCATTTATCTTTCCAACAGCCCTTCAAGGCAGCTTCCTGGATAATTTATCCCATTTGCATAAATTTATCCCATTTGCAGAAGAGGGCACCTGGGACACAGAGAAAGTAAAAGACTTGCCATGGTCACTGCATTAGTCAGTTTTCATGCTGCTGATAACGACATACCTGAGACTGGGTAATTTATAAAGAAAAAGAGGTTTACTGGACTCACAGTTCCACCTGGCTGGGGAGGCCTCACAATCATGGCAGAAGGTGAAAGGCACTTCTTACACAGTGGCAGCAAGAGAGAAAACTTGTGCAGGGAAACTCTCCTTTATGAAACCATCAGATCTTGTGAGACTTATTCACTATCGTGAGAACAGCACAGGAGAGATCTGCCCCATGATTCAATTACCTCCCACCAGGTCCCTCCCGAGACACGTGGGAATGGTGTGAACTATGATTCAAGATAAGATTTGGGTGAGGACACATCCAAACCATAGCAGTCACCAAGCTGGCAGTTAGTGGAGTCCCACAGGGTGTCTAGTTTGAGTGAGTCTGCTGTACAACCCCATAAGTATTGTTATTACTGTCTCAGACTTATGCCTGAGGAAACCAAGATATACAGTTCACAAAACCCACCAGTATTGCACAGTGAGTCATTGGCGGAGCTGGAGTTTGAACCCACTGCTGTTCGGCTTCAGCACCTGAGCTGGTAATCACTAAACTATGTGATTTCTCTTACATAAAAATGTCTTCCCAGAATTCAGGAAAGGCTAATTTGCCACTCCACACTTTCCAAGGACTGCACAATTCTTTGGTGGTGTTGGTTATGCATCACAGTCACCGTTGGAAGGGACTGGGGTTGGTCACTGGCATGGGGCAGCAGGGTGAGTTATCAGGAAATGGCAAAAGGACCCAGGGGGTCTGCAAGTGCTTGAGCCCCCACCCCTAGCACTGCCCTTAACCACCTCAGGCTCTGCCAGGGAACCAGGAAGAGGATAGGCAAATAGGAGGGCAATTCTGGGCTGCTTTGGGTAAAATAAAAAGGGGACAGGAAATGAAAGGATTCAGACTGTTGAAAGAAGGGACTCAACAGATCCTGCCTCATCCTTTCTTCGTAACTGGAAGGAAGTGGGTCTTACTGTTGCATGAGGAAATGGGGGAGCCCAGCTCCTGAGCATTCAGGCCAATCTTGGTTTGATTCATACTGTAATGATTTCTCTCTAATGTAGAGACACAAAAGCTGAGAGTTGAGAACTATGTCTCATGAAGGTCACAACTGGGGTCCACACCTACCCTCCTCAGGATTAGCTGTTCAATTCCTCCTGGAATTTTGGGAGAAATCCATTGAATCCCACCCCCCACTCCCTGTTACTAGTTGCTGGTGGTGGTTAAGAGAGCTTGCGTTGTTTTATTTTTTCACTTAGTTTGAGTCCTGTACACTCATTAAGTTATATCATTATCTTTCATTTCATTGAATCTAAACTATCTTCTCCCCATTTGCCCAATTTAATGAATTTCCTCAATTTTGTTCTCACTAATTAAACATCATACTCAGTATCTAAAATAAATCCACTTTTTTTTACACCCGTAGTGTAAAAGCTCCCTGAGGGTAGTGATTTCATCTTTTGTTTACTTCTATATCCTGAGCACCTAGCAATATTGATAATGAAGGAATGGCTATGTGTAATTTTTTTCTCCCATTTTATATACATGGTAACTTGCTATACATACTGTTCTGCATATGCGTCTGCATATCTACTTATCAATATATCATGGAGATTGTCAACATTTAGTGGGTCAACAGGCAGGGGACAGGACTTTTACATTTATTAAAATTACCTGCTTAGAGTTCCAAGCAGAATAAAAGCAATTCTCCATCCATGCATGCATAGACTAATCCCAGGAAGTAGCCGTCACCCAGCATGAATTAAATTTGCTGTGCAAGGCATGCCTAGTATGCAATAGAGCTCTCTCACTTTTTTGTTGTTTTTAATCTACATGACCGACACCATAGCCACTGTTTCTTAGGACACACCATTCATGATACAGCTACATTTTAAAATATCTATTTCACTCCATGGAATCCTTTTATCTTGCAATCACACTAAACATGGGTGCCTTACACTTGATAGGTATTCAAGTGTGGGGAAGTGGTGTGAATGAAAAGTTAAGATATACTAAACCATAAAGTATATTAACTTTTTTTCCAAGTTAAGGTAGAAAAAGGGAGGAAATCAATACATTTTAATTTCTTTAAATGAGGTAAACTTTGAATAACCATGGAATTTAACCCAATAAACTATTGCAAAATCATTTTGGTGACTTGTGCCTGGTGCCTGCCCATCCATCTACTTCATGACTTAGCACCAAGTTTTTTGTCTGAATTTGAGGGTGTACCACTTCTGTAAGAAACAGCAAATGTAAGAGTGTCATCCCCAGATTGCAATGTCAAAGTTCTCATTTATGGCCTGCCGACAAAAACATTGTAGTATGAAAAGAGGAGCATAGGCAGAATGATTGGAGTTTCAAAATTTGAACAATGTGAGATAAATGGGTGATCAGGGGTCAAAAGGGCTATTTATAAGGATTACTCTTCTCCTAGACTTTAATTCTCCAGAACACTTATATCACCCAGTGGAAGTATCTTGCCTGTGAGTTTTTGTTTATTCTCTATCTCCTCCCACTGTAAAGTATGTTCCATGAGAGCAGAAACTTCATCTTTGTTCACTACTATATATCTAGTTGCTGACATATGGTACATGCTTATTATGTATTTGTTGAATAAATGAATACACAAGAGAAGGACGAAGGTGACTTTTGGCTTCATCCCATTCCTATTGCTTAGGGGTCATTCATTTTAAGAACACTTCTGGAAATTACCAAAGAAAGTTTTTTCATACAAACAAGTAGGAGTGAAGCAGGTTCACTGTGCACTGATTACCAATTTATCTGAGTACAGTGAGACAGAACACCCACACACAAGTTACATGAAACAGGTTTATTACTTACAGATAAGCAGCAATGGATAACAGAAGTCAAGGCTTCATCCTGAGCTGGTCTCCCAAGGCTCACAAAGCTGCTTGGGGAACACAGAGTCTCCAAGGCACATGCCGCACTTGCACTGCATCTGAGGGACCTGGAAAAGCAGTCTACCCTGGGCTTTACGCCCAGGGCCAAAGCACTGAAGGACATCCTATTTCTAGGGTGAGCTGGAACAGAGCCCAGGCTGTTCTGACCAGTCCCCTACTATCTCACGACATTACATTCCTAGCATATTCTACAGTTATTCTTAAGAATTACAAGTAAGAAAGTAGGGAGAATTGGGTCAGTCCAAGGCCACCTGAAGAACTGTCCTACAGGAGTCATTGAGAAGGGAGTGGCCATCTGGGGTTCAGTGGAAAATTTTCTCTTAAAATGTAGCTACAGCCTGGGGTCCGTGGAGCTTGACTTTAATCTCACCAGTAATCTTTAGTTTTCCACTAACACTCTTTCCAAATTCCTTCTGCCCACCACCCCATTCCAAAGCCACACCCACAATTTCAGGCTTCCATCGACTCTCCCAGGTACCTACGTCTGGTTAGTTATCAATTACTGATCGAAATATTACTTCAGAGTTAATGCCTTAAAATAAATACAGTATAATGGGAAATATATATCTGGTCTTTATCCCCAATTAGTGACCAACAGTTCTGAAACCCTTGGAATTCCCAGAGTGATAGGAGTGTTTTGGTATGTTGATGGTGATGACTCATGGCTGGGGGGCCCTAGATAGCTTCAGGATGGAGGCTGGTCACCCAAAAGACCAAGGCATGATTAGAGGGTTGGAACTTTTAGCCCACCTCAACCTGCAGGACTAACAGCTAATGACTTAATTAATCATACCTTCATAAACATCCCCTAACAATAGGGTTCAGGAAGCTTCCAGGCTGATGAACACATAAAGGTACTGGGAGGGTGGCATGCTAGAAAAAGGAATGGGAGCTCCGTGTACCCCTCCTTGTCCCTATACCTTGCCCTATGCATCTCTTTCATTTGGCTATGAGAAAAAACCAGTAAAAGTGCTAAAGTGTGCTCTTGAGTTCTGTGAGCCATTCTAGCAAATTATCAAACCTGAGGAGGTAGCAGATATGTGGCTGGTTGGTCAAAAGCACAGGAGGCCTGGGACTGAAGACCAGCATCTGAAATAGGAAGGACTGAGTCCTTCACCTGTGGGGCCTGCACAGGTAGAGTCAGAATTGGATGGAATCGAACACTCAGCTGGTGTCCAGAGAATCAGAAAATAGGTTGTTGGTGTGGAAAACCCCCATACCTTTTGGGTCAGAAGTGTTGTGAGGAGGCACAGCTCAATAATAAACATTTATTATCTCCTCATTTATGTGAGAAAGAAATTTGGGAGCAGCTTATCTGGTTGGTTCTGGATTGGAGTCTTGCCAAGAAGTTGTAATCAAGATGTTGTCCTGGGCTGCAGTCATCTGAAGATTTGACTGGGCCTGGAAGATTTACATCTAAAGTGACTCACTCACATGACTGTCCAGTGGTCACAGGTGTAGGCAGGAGGCCTTGTTTCACCAGTTGGGCCTCTCCAGGGCGCTGCTCAGTCCATGACAGCTGGCCTCCTGCCCAGCAAGTGCCAAGAGAGCAAAGTAAAAGCTGTAATGTGTTTTATTCCTAGCCTCCTAAGTCACAGCCTGTCATTTTTACAATGTCCTATTGGTTACCCAAGTCAGCCCAACTGATTATAGAAGTGAATTACACAAGAACATGAAGACCAGGAGGCGAGGCTCTTCAAGGGCCATCTTGGAGGCTCCCAAACCACAGGGCTCAAATACATTTTTCAAATAAATGAACAAAGTATTTAGTCAACTCCAAGTCCTCTGTACTCAGTCCATTTGGATCTAACACGAGAGTTTAGGCTTCTGACAACATACAACGTTTTACTGGCTTTAGCATTTTCACTCTGGAAGACCTCAGACAAGTGATCTACTTTCATTGTGCCTCAAGTCTTAAAACAAGAACTGCGCTGATAAGCAACTTCAGCAAAGTCTCAGGATACAAAATTAATGTGCCAAAATCACAAGCATTCTTATACACCAGTAACAGACAAACAGAGAGCCAAATCAGGAATGAACTTCCATTCACAATTGCTTCAAAGAGAATCAAATACCTAGGAATTCAACTTACAAGGGATGTAAAGGACCTCTTCAAGGAGAACTACAAACCACTGCTCAGTGAAATCAAAGAGGACACAAACAAATGGAAGAACATACCATGCTCATGGATAGGAAGAATCAATATCGTGAAAATGGCCATACTGCCCAAGGTAATTTATAGATTCAATGCCATCCCCATCAAGCTACCAATGAGTTTCTTCACAGAATTGGAAAAAACTGCTTTAAAGTTCATATGGAATCAAAAAAGAGCACGCATCTCCAAGACAATCCTAAGTCAAAAGAACAAAGCTGGAGGCATCACGCTACCTGACTTCAAACTATACTACCAGGCTACAGTAACCAAAACAGCATGGTACTGGTACCAAAACAGAGATATAGACCAATGGAACAGAACAGAGCTCTCAGAAATAATACCACACATCTACAGCCATCTGATCTTTGACAAACCTGAGAGAAACAAGAAATGGGGAAAGGATTCCCTATTTAATAAATGGTGCTGGGAAAATTGGCTAGCCATAAGTAGAAAGCTGAAACTGGATCCTTTCCTTACTCCTTATACGAAAATTAATTCAAGATGGATTAGAGACTTAAATGTTAGACCTAATACCATAAAAACCTAGAGGAAAACCTAGGTAGTACCATTCAGGACATAGGCATGGGCAAAGACTTCATGTCTAAAACACCAAAAGCAACGGCAGCAAAAGCCAAAATTGACAAATGGGATCTCATTAAATTAAAGAGCTTCTGCACAGCAAAAGAAACTACCATCAGAGTGAACAGGCAACCTACAGAATGGGAGAACATTTTTGCAATCTACTCATCTGACAAAGGGCTAATATCCAGAACCTACAAAGAACTCAAACAAATTTACAAGAAAAAAACAAACAACCCCATCAAAAAGTGGGCAAAGGATATGAACAGACATTTCTCAAAAGAAGACATTCATACAGCCAACAGACACATGAAAAAATGCTCAGCATCACTGGCCATCAGAGAAATGCAAATCAAAACCACAATGAGATACCATCTCACACCAGTTAGAATGGCGATCATTGAAAAGTCAGGAAACAACAGGTGCTGGAGAGGATGTGGAGAAATAGGAACACTTTTACACTGTTGGTGGGATTGTAAACTAGTTCAACCATTATGGAAAACAGTATGGCGATTCCTCAAGGATCTAGAACTAGATGTACCATATGACCCAGCCATCCCATTACTGGGGATATACCCAAAGGATTATAAATTATGCTGCTATAAAGACACATGCACACGTATGTTTATTGCAGCACTATTCACAATAGCAAAGACTTGGAATCAACCCAAAGTCCATCAGTGACAGATTGGATTAAGAAAATGTGGCACATATACACCATGGAATACTATGCAGCCATCAAAAAGGATGAGTTTGCGTCCTTTGTAGGGACATGGATGCAGCTGGAAACCATCATTCTTAGCAAACTATCACAAGAACAGAAAACCAAACACCTCATGTTCTCACTCATAGGTGGGAACTGAACAATGAGATCACTTGGACTCAGGAAGGGGAACATCACACACAGGGGCCTATCATGGGGAGGGGGGAGGGGGGAGGGATTGCATTGGGAGTTATACCTGATGTAAATTATGAGTTGATGGGTGCAGCACACCAACATGGCACAAGTATACATATGTAACAAACCTGCACGTTATGCACATGTACCCTACAACTTAAAGTATAATAAATAAATAAATAAATAAATAAATAAATAAATAAACAAGAACTGCAAGATCACCATGAAATTAAATAATTTTAGTGCCATGGAGAATCTTCATTAATGAAACCCTCCCACAGGATTGGCCCCATGCAAAATCATGAAGCTAAGGTAGCTTGCTTTTTCTAACGCATCTCCACAAATCTCCCCAATTTCTCCCACCCCTGCTCCCCGACCCTACACATGCAATATTCAGTTTAATGGACAGAGGCACGTATTTTGCAGGATTGGCTTCCACATGCCTTGAAAAAGTACCAGTTGGATATAGTAATTGTGTATACATGCATGTTTCAGTAAACTCAATAAGGCCAATTTTTCCTGTAGCTTTAAAACATGTCACTGAATCTCAGTTGAATACCTGATGAAAATGGCTTACAAACAGAAGTTGAAATGTATGAAAATCCTGAACACTGGAAACGTTTGTTGTAGAGAGATCATCAAGGAGTGAGATCTCACTGAGGGGCAGCAGATTCCTACTGCTCATCTCAGGCTCACCTGAAGGGTACATGAATTGAGTGGAAGGATGGATAGAGTTTGCTTGTTTGATCATTTAACACTTATTTTCCAAGCACCTCCTTTGTGCCAGGCACTGTTCTAGGTGTTAATCTACACTCACTTGGGGTTTTTGCTGAAATATCATCATTTCAAGAAAGCCTAGCCTGACTGCCATGTTTTAAATTGCAGTTTTAATTGCATCCTTCCCAATCCCTTATGCTGCTCTATATTTTCTTGTTTCATAACATGTGTTATGTTTTACTACATACTATGATTTCCTTCTCTATTGCCTTTTGTTGTCTTTCTCCCCCCCATCCAACTCCATGCCGGAATTTCAGCTCCAGAATGGCAGGAATCTCAATCTATTTTATTCATTGATACAGTACATGACTCATAATAGGAATTGAATTGAACACCCAGCTGGTGTCCAGAGAATCAGAAAATAGATGATTGGTGTGGAAAACCTCCATACCTTTGGGGTCAGAAGTGTTGTAAGGAGACACAATACAGCTCAACAATAAACATTTATTATCTCATCATTTCTGTGAGAAGGGAAGTTGGGAGCAGCTTTTCTGGTTGGTTGGTTGGTTGATATTGAACAGTTGGTGAATGAACTGATGAGTGCTGGCAGCATGAGAGTGAATAAAACATATCAAATTATCTGTCTTCTACAAATTCATTCATTCATTCATTCTCTCTCTCGATCTCTCTCTCCATGCGTATAGTTGCCATTCACTGGGTTAAGTCCAGCTCTGATGCTATCACATTGTTCTGACCTGCAAATATCATTTCCTACAAATGCCCCAGGCAATCTGTGGCTTCTTTACAGAGCAGTCTAAATGCCCTTGCTACAAAACCTAGATCCC